ATAAATCTCTTAGATGCAGTCAATTTCATTCATAGAGCTTGGCAAAAAGTTAGCCGAAAAACCATTGCAAATTGCTTTAAGCATGGGGGATTTGTGAGAAAAGAAAATGATTATGAACCAGACGATGAAATTCCACTTAACGAAATGGTTAGAAAAGTATAAAGAATCTGACTACGAGTATGACACATTGAGTGATTTCAATTTCTTGGAATATGTGAGCATTGATAATGGCATTCTTACAAGAGAAATGTTGACCGATGAGCAAATTATAGACTCCGTAACCTCATCTACAGCTTTAAGCGATAATGAGAAAGATGACGATTTAGGTGAAACGTATTCTACTGTAGACACTAATGCTGTTCCAACCATTTCTGAAATGACAAGAAACTCGGAATTTTCTACAATCACGCCAAGTTCCTAATCATGTCCTGGGAGTCATTTTGTGATCTTGAAAACTACATAAATAACATCTATTTTTGCAGCAGTTATGTACAAACAAAAATTACAGACTTTATGAAGTAGATTTCAAATTAAATTTTGTTTATCTTTTTGTGTTCTTTTTAGTCATACCTACCAACTTCTACTACTCTATGTGAAAATTTCGAAATAAAATACTCCACGTGTTTTTGTATTATTATTCGCTTATAGCGAACTCCGGATATAACAAACAGTTTTAGTTAATTTTTCAAGTTCGTTATATCCGGACTCAACTGTATATAAATTCCAATTCGAAAACAATAATGATGAATCGAAATCAGTAATCAGTACTGTGAACCTAATTAAATTGACAAACGCAAAATGCAACTAAAACTTTTTGTCGATGTTGAACTTTAGAAAGTTCTAGATCTAAGGCAAAATTAAATCTCTAATTTGCAAACTTCAAACAGAAGCGGAAAACAGAAACCATTATTTTAATTACTTCACAGGGTCCTATGCTATAACAAAGGCCCCTCTCGATAAATTTAAAAGAAATTCGGTACTATAGCAATGAAGCTAAAGCTAAACTTTCGGTCTAAGAGTCTTGGTTTCATAACGGTTGCTGAAATTTCTAGTGGATAGATGCAAGCCCGAGCGCCATCTCCAGTCAAACAATGGCTTCGATGGAGATTGGTCATACATTTGATAATGTGAAAAACCAGGTCAAGCAGACGAATCGGGCGAATAAACCGGCTTTGGCAGGCAGTGGCGTAATACTTGAGGTTCCTCATTTATAAAAAACGAATTTTAATTTCCAATTTTGCATTTTATTAATATAAAGATAAACTTTGATTGAGGAAAGTATTTCTTTTATTATTTGCTTGTTATTCCTTCCAATTAGTTCTGAATTCTATAATGTTTACTTTACTTAGAAAGTTTCCACAACAAACTTTTGGGCGTATTTTGTTTTTTGGACGTTTTGGTATCCAAATATGCAAAACTCGCGAATCGAAAAGAAATGTTTCACATACGTTCTCCATTTGGTCTCCAAACACTTACCATTTCAACACCTAGAAACTATACTTACTCTTGTATGCCTTGGTAGTACTTTATCAGCTCAATAAATTCAAAGCGAGCTTTCTTTTGTGACTCTTCATCTTTCTGAATCGTATCAAAAACATGCTCGAATTTTGCTGAACAACACTTGAATTGACAGCCAATATGTATCAAAAAACCTAAAAAGTAATGCAGTAGCGTCAAAAGTAAAAATAAATAAAATATAAAATCTTAACTAACTCCTCACCAATTATCGTTGCTGTTGCCAATGAAAAAAAGCAAGATACATGATAACTGTAAACTGTTTCTATAGGAAAAACGATCCAGAAGTACCTGGATTGGTTGGCATCGAAAGGGTATAAATTACGTACTGGCATCCAACAGGGGTCATGTTTTACATAAAAATCGCCACCTAAAAATCAAGAATAAAATTCTGTGTCGTACTTTACCGTGAATGTTAGTACGTAATGTACCTCTTTGTTGCATGCAAGTTTTTGTCGACATCATTTGCCAGAAGAAATTGAAAACGAGACTACCAGTTACGTAGGATAACAAATCTAAAAATATATGATAAATTTTCTCATTCATGAAAGTTTTGGAGAAGTGCATAAGTTGAAAAGAAATTTTGTAATAAGTAGGCAAATTAGACCAATATTTCGTAAACCTTTTTTTTTAGAATACTATACTATTGCCCGCTATAATTGTTAAATTTACTACATTTTTATATTTTACAATTGAGCTTAAAATATAGTTGTAATCAAAGACATTAATCATTAATCTAAGACTATAATGGCACTTTTAGCTGTACACGTCTTACCTCTGTTTTCACATACTTAATAGTATATTTTTATTAGTTACCAATTATATTTGCGTACTTAATTAAAATCGAATTGCAGTTAAACGTTGTCAAATAAAATGTTCTAAATCAGTTGAGCGTTTCTTATATAATTTATACGTATTTTAATACCATCTAAGTTTGCCTGTTGAAAATTTTGTAATTATGAAAATACAGAACACATATTGAAGGTATTTACATTTAGTGTATCTGTTTGATTCAGCTTCAGCTTCTCGGATGACTTTGGAATCACAGTACTTTAGGAACTGGTTGAAATCAACGATTAGTTGATTAATTTTATCCAAGTTTTGCAAAAAACAGACGTAGGCTAACGTGTATCCAACCATATCGCCGATTCCGACAAGGGCTTCCAAAAGAATTTTCACATTATCAATTTTCACATAAAACTAAAAATGTTGACTTATGATAATACTTTAATTTAATTAATATAGTACGGATAAGACAGGTTTTTAAAAATTAATTTTGTAAGGATAATTTGACGACCAACCAGCACAAATTTTTAAATATTTGCATGCGAAAGTATTTTGCGTTTATGAACATGGGAATGAACCAGCAATTGCGGCCAAAAAGATTGTTTTGTGAGCTATAAATTCTGCTAAATCTCGTACTATCATCTACCTGATATCCTGCTGCTGACCAGACTGGAATTCCACAACATTGAGTAGTGAAAAATATTCCATAGGCTATATAGAAATTTTGCTTTCTACTCAATGAATTCAAAGGCCAAATCAGTAAACATTTGAGAATTCGAATATGTAGTTTCAGAATTTGATGCTCGTTAACTTGAATCATTTTAAAGAATAGTAGGAACTGGAAAGTTCTACACAACGACGTTTCTAAACCGATTAAAAATGCCATATTTTTTGTTTGGCTCTGATTAGAGGGCAACAACTCAAAACTGATTTACTGTAGTAAAAGCCATAAACAACTAAGAATAGTAAATTAAAAAACATCAATGGATTGGCCGAAGAGCATAGTAATTTCATTCAGGTTTGATTTATTTATCTACAAACTTATATATACCATAAATATATCTGATATTATACGTAGCTAAAAATCTGGCATGAGCTGTGTGTCTTCTAGCAAAAATCACATATTTGAGACTGTTATTCTACATGAAATATTAATATTTTTTTTTGCGTAATAAAAATGAATGAAAATGTTGCGGCCGTCGAAACGCTTATTTTTTAAACAGGGTCTTTTTCCCTTCCATGCTCGATCGGGGTTAAAAAATGGAAACCCTTGTTTTCTATGGAGAAAGCGAAAATTAATATAATTTCGAAAAAATGAAGTATTGCAATAAATCGAGTTCTTGTTATTTTAAATTAACAGTCAGACATAATGGTTTTTCAAAACAAAATGCGTCTTTATTCATTCTCTTTACATAACAGATCAAGTCGACTATATTTTACAAACCATTAATAAAAGTTTATAAACCTTAAATTTGGGATAAAATGCTTCTTAATAAAAAAAACCTTCGTGTTTTTAAGTGTTTTCTATGATGTATGCTAATATCTCTCCTTTGTCTTTTGGCGGTTTGTTTTGTTAAAGTCGTACTAGTGCATTAAAGTGTATGTCTTTTCAGACCGAATAAATAAAATAATCGTTAAAAATATTAACTAAAACAAAAAACTTAAAAACTTAACTAAAACATCAAAAACGTTTTTTTGAATAAAAATGCTTTTTTACTTACCTTAGCAACACATGTTGATAAATCAGTATCTATTTGCCTTAGAAGCTACTTACTTTAATTTAGGAATAATTTAAACACTTTTTCAAAATCAATTTAAAAAAATTGATAGTTTTATAATTTATAGAAATAAATGTGTTTAAATGTCCTGCGAAATTCACAAAACTCTTATCAATCAACCGAATGAAGGCATGACACTCTACCAACAATAAAATATGTTGTTTGTGTTTTCACTTTTATTATTCCAGTTTTATACAATTCAATTATCATTTACATATTGTTAATAATACCCGTATAAGTTTCAGTGATTCAGTGGGAGTCTTAATAAAATTTCTTTTTAAAATTAGTATATAAAACAACTTTTTATTTATTAACATCATTTACAAACCACTAGTTTACCGGTACGTGGTAAATGTGTATATTCTTTTTTGGTTTACATTTGAATCAATCCTTTTGGTGTACCTAATGTGCGTTAAAATGGATTTTGTTCTGTAAGTACAATCACTTACCTGATCGCTATACAAGATATATCAAAGGTTTATAGAACTTGTTTAGATGGTACTTGAATGCAATTGGGCATTTTGAACAGAGTAATTTAATAAAAAAACATAATGCGAGCTGCTGTTGCAAAAAGTTTAAATTATTCATGGGTGCATTAGGCCATGAAAAATAAAGCGAAATTTCGGGTACCATCTAATAAAGTTAATAGTGAACAAGTACACCATGGTTCACTGTCTAAAACATCTACTTTTGGATCGTCAAAAGTTCATGGTCTGCTTAATTATCCTTTATTACAGTTTTAATATTGCCTACCTAATATTTGGAATTTGTAAGTTAACCTTTCATGATTACTCACGAGTATTATATACCAGTTTAAGTGCATTTCCGCAGATAGTAAAAGTACAAAACGAAACTGGAAAGCTTCTACGTTTACGTAAGAAAGTACAGTACACTAGAAGAGATCTACTTATTTTACAACATACAAAGTTATACAAAATAATCATAAAAATCTACTATTTCTGCTACTATTTCTAACACAACATAATGACTTTTAGTTCAATTCTTCCCATTTATGCTGCATTGAAAATAGCTTTGCAATACTAGAATTATTTGCTACTTCACTTTACAACAAAATAACTTTGAATCAACTAAACGTCCATAAAATGCAAACGTTTATTAACAAACGAACATTTATTTGCAGGTGTATGTTGACATTTTCGAATATTGCTGAATATGTTGCCGTAATGTTTCAAAAAAAGTAAACTGAAATTGATGACAATTTGACCATTTCAAAACAGCTTTACGATACAAAAAATAAAGAAATCAGCTTCAGACATTATTAACTTGTTATAGGAGTCCTTTGCTATTGCCCTCTTATAAAACGACAATAATTATAAATTATTCTTATTAAATATTAAACTAAATCACGTTATTTAAAGCTTCTTCCGAGTCCCACAATGAAAAAATCCTACTTTTTTAAAAACAAAAGCAACTTATTTCAAAAGTATAAACACGAAACTATGCGAACAACTTTGAAGCCATTTTTGACTTTATCAAATGTTTTCAACCCTTGTTAAATATAATTCGAACAAATATGGATCGGGCAATGTTGAGCAACGAAGCATTATTTTCAAGATATATTCATCTTGCAGTAGAGTAAATAATCATTTTTGGTCGTACAATAAATAAATTAAACTAAATCTAACACACAGCCTCTATAATACAAATATTTTCATCCTAATCCATTATTTTATGCGTAAACGTAACTGAATAATACTACGAAAACCTCAAAGCTGAAAATGTTGTCAACATGTTTCAAAAATCACATGAACACTAAACGTTTGCAAACAGTTCGACGAATTTCAACAAATATTTTTTGTGATCCGTTGAGTTGAACTTTTGAAAATTAGTTGTTTACAAAACCAAACAAAATTCATTTTTTTATTTAACAACTATCGACAACACTTTTAACATGTTTGTGCGGATTTACTTCTTTCTTAAAATATATCTCAGTTCTTTGCACACAACTTAGAACATTGATTGAGCCTCAGATACATTTACAAATTATACAGAAACCTCTGGAAAGAGCCAATTTGTTGAGGTGAGGAAAACTTTATAATGAATTCGGGTTTGTTTTCAGTTTAGAGCGGGTACTAAGGGCAATATTTATTTGGTACATATTTTTAGCTATTAGTACTTCTACACTGGGTTATTTTGGTATTTGGTGATAACACTTTGGAATAGGCACCAAAATATTAATCAGGAAGAAGGTTTTTAAATAATATAATCTAAGTTTGCAATAATTGTTTTTAATTTTTTTAGTCTTTATTGCTCTTGTCTTTTTGCTTCCAAAATGTTATCAGCCTTCATATCGGGTAATTTAAATATCTAGCTATTGTAGCCACCGTACACGATACGATTACGTTCCACGATAACCAAAAATTTTAATAAATTTGATTATAATATCATTTTAAACGGACAAATTACTGTCCAAATTTCGGTAGCTTGAACCAAGTTGCTTCGGCGTAAGTGTGATTTAGATGAGGATTGAACATTTTGCCGATAAAGCACAAACTGAGCGTCTAATCTTTGAGCTGAAAATGGTAAACAACTTCTCTTAATATGGAAACGCTTTGTGGAATTGAACTACTTATACTTGTTGAAATTGCTTGTAAGTTAATGCTGAATAACTTTGAACTGAAAGTGGATGTAAAACTCAACATCTTCGGCTGATTCCAAGAAGCAAAGTTGGTCAATTTTTGTGCAATCGATCTGGGTGAATTAAAACTTTGAAATTTTCAAATTGCAGTTATTTTTCATTAATTCATCAAACATTTTTCGCTATCGAGTCGAAAAACTTGTATGTAGTTTCAGAACTTTTGGTTTTTTCACTTACTTCAATAATGTCTTTTCAGGTTGTTACCACCACGTTTTTATTGGATTTAGGAAAAAGCCGATGTTCAAGAGCTAATGAACTACTGAATGAAATTCTGAGAGTTTAAATACAAATTTTCAAATAAGTAATTAAAACCCATTCTACTTACTTTCCAAGCAAGTCCATCGGTTGGCTCTGCAGTTTATCTTTCCGTTTAAAATGCTTTACATTATTCGGCTAAAACGACGTAAACTCACTGTCTCACATATTAAACAATCCACGATTTACTCCCGTTCGATTCCTGCTGTGCCATTTGCACTGTAAAATTCTCAAGTAGGTCCTGCGAAAACTCTCATTGCACAATGCGTAGCACATGGGATTTATTGTAGAGTTAATGTAGCATAAATAGTAGAAAAAGTCCCACAGTTGAGGAGAAATCAGGTTACTAGTTGATGTGACAGGCTTGAGCAGCACCAATATGTTGTAGGGAGTCCACGTGAATATGAACGATAGCAGGATGGCAGACAATGTCTTTGCTGCCTTCTTTTCCGCTTTTTTCTCTTGCGTTTTCTTCTTTTTCTTGCCATGGTTTTTCGTTGCATTTGCGAGCAACGTTTTTCCCACCAAATGCTTCGGAATTCCTATACATGGAAAATTGCGTTAAGAAATAAAGTTGCAAAATGTTACGCGACCTATAGTAAAAAATTTAATTGAAGCCAGAAAAATGTATAGGTAATATCAATGCAACATGAGGTTTAAACGCTGAAAGTAGAAGCCAACATTTTGAAATGAAACATGTTTTATTAAAAAAAAAATATCTTTCATGTCAAGCTAATTTTTTTCTTCGCTGGTAATTTAGAGTGATTTCTTGCGAAATAGTGAAGAAACTTGTTTTCATTTATTTATAAGTGGGCTATTAGCAAAGCTATTTTACTAGTTTAATATAATTTACAGAATTTATCTGCAAAACATTCAAATTCAATTCAAATAATGTTGTTTTTGATATTATTAATTTCCTTTAATATTAGAGATGTATATTAAATGTCTTCAAATTTCATATTTTTAGCGCTATTCAAGATAGTTGCAAGTGCATTCAAAATAAAATTTACCCGGAAAAATATGCGATGAATTCAAAAGTATACTTGTTTATTACAAATGAATTCATATCTTAGTATGCGTTTCATATCATATCAAACGCATACAAATTGAAATTAAAGTTGCCGGGTGTCACATTAATAGGAGCTTAAAGTGTATATTGGGAATATTCGATATTTGCATGTAGATAATTTAAAAAATCTATGTAAATTAGGTTGCGAGAGCATTTAAAATAAGTTAAAATTCAAAAACAATATTCTAATTGAAAGGGCAGATGGAAGAAGGGGTTTTGAAACAAAACAAAATTACAAAAATGAATGATTAGGTGCATTCGGAAGGGTTTCTGTAGAAAACGATTTTCAAAGTTTAAGCCGCCTTTTGGAGATCCAGAACATGATTTTATCAATTTTTAAAAAGCGCACCAATTAGCAAAAGTTGTTGCTTTTTTATTATTTAGATAGTTTAAAATGAGACGCTATAGATTACATGTTGCCAATAAATTAACTTTTTTCAAATTGAACGTATTTGATTATTTCACTCGCCTCTTGAGTTAATAACCGGAAGATGTCGCAGAATAAGAGGAGATAAATATATTAAGTTGCTCCAGCATCAAAGTACTTAAGAACTGAAGCTGATGACACTGATAAAAATGTTGTTTTATTACCTTTAGCATTTAAGGGTATCCTCACATCTGGCATGGCAGAAGGTCTCCTATTTACATGGTTCGCGTAAACAGTAGAATTCGAATTCAGTTTATCCGAATTGTTAAAGTTATTTTCGATACTGTCTTCTGGAATCATCTTGATTGAAGGTGGTTCCACAGTCCCATGATGGCTTTCCTTGGGATCTCCAGGTAACTTAATGACGATAGTATATACACTGTCTGAAGACCCCGATCTTCCTCCTAACCGATTGGCCATCGGTAAGCTTCTTGTGTCGCGCGGCGTAAATCGTGTGGGGGTCACATTTGCTTGATTAGTTGGCCAACCCCCATCTCTGGTTGCATTCGCATCCCTAAAAATCACAAGCCAGACCGGAATAATGTTGAATTCTTAGTGGAATAGCAAGCAAACTAGACAACGTACCTAATAACATTGAGCGATGTACATCTGGATACTGAACTCGGCAATGGCGTATCCAGAGAAACAGGTGTGATGCATCCTTGTCCTTGTTCGCTTGGACTTTCGTCTTCAGTATCACTGTCTTCTCTTCCAGAATGCCACCAAGCGACACACCAAGCACGCAATCGGATTGCGCTTCCTCGAATGCCACGTTCAGTGATCAGTCGCTAAATTGAAAGTTTATACACTCAAAAGAGAGTCGTTTAATGGATGAAATAGTTTTAGTTTCCAGACTATGCAAACTTGAAATTGGATTTCCAACTGTTAATACCTTGAACATGTGCACGAAGACAAAAGTGTCCTTATTTCATTTGGTATTCCCCAACCCAGCCCAAATAAAGCCAATAATCACCTTTTATAGTTATAACAAAACATTTCAATATGCTAAATAACCCACTAGCAAATCAGCAACTATCGCAACAATAGAATAGATTTGAATAGATATTGATTGGATCCATTTGAACAAAGTTGGTTTCAATGATACAATAGATCAAAGGGAAACATAAGTGAATAGTTTTGAATATGTGACAGTTTCCGCTTGATATTTAGCTGCTGATAATAAGTTTAATGAAGCTTAAAGACAGCTGTTGCTAGTGTAAAAGCTTTGTTTATGCTTTATCGTAAACGCGTCGGTGAAATCACGTTTACAATAGTGGGACCGTAATTGGAAGATGTAGGCATTTGTTTCTATAACAGGAAAAAAATTGTCTAATGGCAAAACAATAGCAAGGAAAATAGAGGAAAATTTGTAATATTTCATTCCTAGTAGTAGAACAAAGCAGACAATTGGAGAAGCTCAATTAGGAAGATGAATTGAGATGAAATTAATATTGTAACTTAATCTTCAAGTTTCTTTTCTGGATGTGAAGTCTTGTTCGAATAAATTGTACTTTTTTGCATTTATTGTATCTACTGTATCTATTGTACCTATTGTATATTATTGCCTTGACGGACATTGCAAAATATATGAAAACTAGATGAATGTATTAATACAGTTAAAAAAGCAAAAAAAACAAGCTAAATGGCAGATCAATGATACAATTTAAAAAAATTATACTTTGGAAAAAATGCACTTGATGTTCTAAGCAAAATGTTACGAAATTATGGGATATGAAGTATACTTCATTTAACAGTTGGTATTCATTGTAATTTTTGTAAATACGTTTTGTTATTAATTGTATTTTATTAATTGTTGCTCATTTCTAGACTTTAACAGCGTAAGTTTCACTACATTTCCTTTATTTATCAAAGGAGGTTTCTCCTCAGATCCTACTACCTTAACTGAAAATAAATAAAATTGTAGATATTTTGGACAAATTCATTAGACAACAATTTGGAATGTGATAAATGTGCCAAAATACCCGTTAAGTTAGGAATTAAGAAAACAACACTTTTGATCCCCATTTCCTCCAACGAATTTATTGCATTAAAAGAAAATATGAGTGCTGAAGTTGTACTTTTGTGCAGCATTTAAGGCTTATACTTTATAGTCCTTCCAACGCCTTTGTCATATTCCTTTTCACAATTTTTATAATTTTCTCTATACTGCGGATATTTAAATTCAGATCTTGCTTACCGATCTTTTCCTCCGGTAAGGTCCCGCATTGACTGAACCATGCATGTAAAGAGACTCCGCCTCTGCAAAAGAAGATTCGGATCTCGTTCTTTTCCATTCGTCCATATCGACTGTAGAGCAGACGTTGGTCGCTTCGTCGCTGCACACGAATACACTGTATACACGTGATTAGCTAATAAAAGGGTTAGTTTTCACATTTAGAACATCGAACGTCTAAAAGTGCTACCTAGAAAGCGTCTAAATGTGCAAGCTACCAAACAAGTTGAAAATCATCTGTCTACAAGGGAGCTAGGAGTGAGCCAAATGCAATGATTTGACGACACTAATAGTGAAAATGTATCAAATAAATTCAATGGGAGTAATTTAACACCACACATATATATAAAGTTCCAAAAATTAGATGTAATTGAATGTTTGCTGTGGAAGAAGATCTGTCAAGTCTCAATATTTCCGAATTTTTTAACGCAAACCCAATTATAGCTACCAAATACCTTCAAGAGTGAAAGATGGGGGAAAAACAGAAAATGGGGCCTTAAGAACGAGTTAAACGGGATTAAAATCATTCAAAATGACTAACAAAGAAAATACATTGCAGTTGGAGAAGAATTTCTTTGTTTGATATAATTTCTCCCAGCTACTTTTGATGGAGATGAAATAAAATAAATTAAATTTCATATACACAAAAGGAAAGACTAGTTTCCAAATGTTGCAAAATCAATGAATAGTTGAGAAATAAATATTATCGATTTTTCAATTCTTTACTCAACAAAAGTAAGTATGCTTGATGAACTTTTGTAATTTGTAATATTTCCTTATATCTAAAGATTCGTTGGAACCGGTGACATTTTTTCCTTTTTAGACCTTAAGGGAGTTAAAATTAACAGTAAATCATTTTAATTTCGCATTCGATTCAAGATTAATATATTATTGCTAGGAAATACCTGATCAGTGAAAATTGCCAGTTTTATTCAAAATGTTAAGATTTCAGTGAAAAATTATGTTGATTAACTCACTCAATGCAATCATTTAAAGGCAAACCAGTAACCACTTTCACTTATCCGCTATCATATAAAAATAGAACCACATTTAAGCAAATTGTGGTAAACAAATTTAAAAAATGTTTTGACATGGAATTAAAAAAAACCTTTTTCAACAAAATCAATGAAATTTCAACTTGTAAAATTGCCCAATTGTCTTCATCTAACTTATGTATAAATTACTCCATAACCAGATTTGATGTATGTCTTTTATACCACCACCATTTATGATTGATCAAATTTTGCAATCATCCGAATTAAATAAATAATTCGCACCAGAATCACTTTCGTAACGCGATGGGAACTTCCATAATTGCAATAAACGTCTAACATTGTAACACGCTTTAAACTTTCATAATGTCGATAAACGTGTAACACTGTGTTGCAGTTTTTCGTTAAAGTTTATGCGACATACGCCCCAAGGGATGCAATTAGAAAACTAATAGTGCATTTGCGTTTGATGCAGTTCGCTAGATGAAGATGGTAATTGCACTTCCGCCTTTGATGCTACAATTTCCAGGGATGGAGAAAAGTGGACGCCCATCTTGAGCCGCCCAATTTTGATATAGTAGAGGCAATTCTGTTTGGCTGCAGGAGCCATCAACGTAAATGTTAAAACGCAAAGTTCTTAATACCACATCGGGGTTAATGGTTATTCAAAACACACAAAAATATTTTCTACAGCCTACAAAGAAACCACCTAAAAAGCACGTGCCCTCAAATATTACACGTGTTCACTCTCTAAATTCAAACGATAACAACCTTTTACGCTTACCTCGAATTGCTTCTTTTACTGTTATCTTTTTTGACCGCCTGCAGCTTCGGTAAGTCTTTCTGTCTCTTCTCAGTTTCTCTCCAAATTCTCCAATATAAAAAAATCATCACTGAAACCGGAACATAAAATGCCGCAATTGCCGTACCTAAAAAAAATTATACATGAACTGGCAATATCAGATAAAATCAGTCAAAACAGTTTGGGGTACATTTTGGGGCAAACTATATAGTCCCATTTTGTTTTTCTGCTGGTTGGCGAAATAATATCTATCGGAAACTTGAAAAATAGATATTGGAACGGCTTTAAAAATATCCTGGGCTTTTTGTTGGAAATGTGGATTTTTGCTTCCAAATGTATATAATTTATTGAGCAACATCCACTTTTTATTATTTGAGTTATTTGCACTGTAAATTCGAGAAACACTACTGGAGAGCAATGGGTGACTAATTCAATTTCAAAGCACTTTTTGTCCTTAATATTCGGCAATAAATTGGGTCATTCAAATGGTCTCTCATTTAAATGGATAAATTCAAATTTTAACAAGTTGATGAACTTGGTGTGTTTTTCGTTTTTCTGGCAATCAAGGGATTTTTGATGATATTTTCAATTTTCCTAATAAATTTGTTTGCGAATTCTTTAAAATTCAAATAGATTTTACGGTTTTCTTTGCTGTAGTTAAAGTTTCCCAATAATCTAATTATTCATCTTACAAGTGTGGAAAATCATACTTTTTCTGTTTAGTTTCGATGTCGAATTTGGCAGCTATGAATTATTTAGAATTTTGAATATCAAAATTGTCGAATGTGCATTTTTTGCAAAACCCCATTAAATTAGGGGTTATTAAAAATAAAAGTATTTAAAATTGCAAATAAATCCGCTACGGGGATTTTGAACTAGTACAAAAAATTTAAAGAAGATCGGATTTGGGTGGTTTATTTCCAGATGTCAAACAATCATTATTTCGATTGTCGATAGTAAATATGTTTGGAGCAGGGAAAATATTACTTGATGCGTTCGATAAAAATTAACCAAACATGAATGTTGAATACTCTGCAATGTTATCAATAGCCTCAGTTTCTATCAAAAATTCTTCTAGTTATTGGCGAGATAAAAGCATTATCTCAATGATTTTTAAAACCGAGTGAATTTCATTTGTACAAATCTTACCGCCGCAAGAAAATTTAGACAATTATTTTCACTTGAAAGATAATTTTGTGAATTATTTAACTATAGGTAAACTTCGGCACTATTTAAATTTATTATGAATCCAATTCTAATACCAACTATTTTAATCGAATTGAATCAAACGATTTTTGGATACAAATTGGAAATCCGTGAGTGATTGATCTTCACATCAATTTTTTGAATTAATGTTTTATCGCAATCGAAGTATTTTAATATATTTTATGGGTTGCGTTTTAAGCGAATGACTAATAACAATAGAGATAAAAATCATGAATCATAGCATATGCACTAGCAATGAACATTAAAATATAAAACAATAGGGGTGCAGAAATTGTTGCTTGATTTTGAGTTTTTTTCGATTGATTTAATGGTAATTTTACTCATTTCGCTTTTCTTCTTTTATTAATTTCTTTACTTATTAATGACACTGAATCGATTGTAAGTGTTGCATCAAAATTTGCTAAATTCGTTTTTTGTTTCATTGTATTGCAATCAACAAACTCCCTTCCCTTACTCATAAACCAGACAATTTCACTTTGCAGTAAGTATTAAAAAATAAAAAATAGTATTCATAAGAAAAAATTGCTTAAAAAGTTAAGACAAATTGCAGAACATAGACTCGTCGATTAGCAGACTCCTGGCTTATTGACGAGCTATCGAAAGAAGTTTAGCACAGTTGGGCATGTACATGCCCAAAAATCTACTGAAGTGAGGACAAATTTACCGCAATCATGACATAAATTTAGAGTTATATTTTCTTAATTAAAACTTTCTAGATGTCGATAACTCAGAAGTGTGCTCAAAAATGGAAGCAGCAGACGAACACTGAAGACGCAGAACAAAGCATATCGAACAAAGTTATTCAAATTATGAGCACATTTTGCAGAAACATTATTTAGAATCAGTTTTCCATAATTGCAAAAGTAAACAAAATGTATTTAAATAGTTAGTAAGTATTATACAAAAATTGAATAAAAATTTCTTAAAAATGAAACGGTTTACACTTGCGGTGCTAAAAAGCATATTTGCTCTCTTCATCCTCCTATCGAGCTATTTGGGCGTCATAACCATTCTGTAAATAACTGCCCATTTTCACAATAACAATCCATTTGAATTCATTTTGAAAACTGCCACCGTAAATCGACAATCCTCAATCCAGAGACGATTTTAGGCCGTTAAAAGAAATGTTGTTGGTTTGTGAAATTGGCACTAATGCCCGTTCCGACTCTTTTCGTATTTTACGACCTCCCTATTTATTGCTTACCAAAAGTAATATAATGATTGGTTTCGATGAACTGGATATAGCACTCGTTGTCAGGCACCGTGCGCTGTCCTTCGATATAAGGCCAGCTGTAAATCCACGGAGGCCATAAAAGCAAACTTACACCCCATGCACACCTAACCAGAAAAAAAAACGCTTTTTTCAATTACACAGCAAACACGTGGGCGTAGTTTTTAAATAATCACTTACCCTATCATAGATGCAGCCTTTCTATTGGTCCTTTTGGCACGATAGGTAAGTGGCCGTGTGACAGAAAAATAACGGTCGAAACTAATAATGAGGAGATTCAACACGGAAGCATTGCTAGCAAGGTAATCTAGAGCCAGCCACGTGTCGCAGACCAAGGGGCCTAATGGCCAATAGCCTAGAAAAAAATAGAAAATAATTTATAACAGCCTGTTTAATAAAAAGCAACTAACATTTTTATTGCCAAACTGATAATATAACGATAATTCTCCAAACTAGGACTTCCAGTGGCATTGTGACTCTTTAGATCAGCGGTCGGGGAACCGGGGTAAATTACCCCAAATGGGGTAAAAATGAGATTTTTGCGAATAAAAAGCATATGTTTTTAATTTGCTATTTTATAAACCTGTTAGTATTTTTTTCAACTTAAACAATTTTTAAACAAAGAATTGCAAGGAAAGAATATTAAAATTATTTCAGCGAGAGAAATCGTGTCAGCGTTTGGATTAAAGCTGCAATATTGGAGACAGAACGTAGAAGGGAACAAGATAGCTTCTTTTTCAAGGTTAGCTTTGTTTTTGGAAGATTGCGAAAATATTACTTTTGCTCAAGGATACAATTGTAAGACATCTTATCAAACTCAGAAAGCGGGTTTCAGATTACTTTTCAGATCTTGATACACGTACTGTCAGGTGGATTGTAGATCCTTTTAAATGTGAAATTGCTATGATACCATAAGAACCTTCAGGTTTGGCAGAATCAATTATTGAACTTCGATCTAAGACTGAAGCACGTATTCGATTTAAGAGTAAACCAAATCTGTCGTCTTTTTGGATATCAAAAGCTGCAAATGCTTTCAAAATTGCACATGAAGAGGCGGTTAAACAATTGTTGCCATTTGGAACAACAAATTTTTGCGAACAAGGCTTTTCCACTCTAATGAACATAAAAACGAATAACCGAAATCGATTAAACGCCGAAGACTGTATTCAAATGGCTCTTACTTCAAAAAGTCCCAAATATTGTATCGAACATGAAACAACATCATTTCTCCAAAACGTGAAGGAAGAATGTTTTCAATTATTCTTTTTTTTCTAATTTTTGTTTGTACCACAATTATTATTATTATTATTATTATTTGTTCCAGTACCCCAAATTATCAACCCTCAATTGTACCCCAATGGGTTTCAATTTGTTCTATATATTACTTATATTACGATTATTACGTTATGTATTACATTAATAAATTGAATAAATTATGTTTAAATTACATGTTTAGTTATTGTTTTCTTTTCAAAATTATCATGGAGGGCTATAATATTAAAGATGCTAAAAAGAGGCGATTTCGGTTTTTTTGCTTTTCGCCATGAGGTAACATCAGCTTACACAAAAATATTTTGGGGTAATGATTTAAAAAGTTCCCCGACAGCTGCTTTAGATCTATCAGGCCTGTATGTTTTATTTCAGAAACAACCAAAATATGTAAAAGGTATACTATTATTTTTTATTAATTTAAAAGAATCCTAAATTGAAAAAAAAGAACATTAATAGAATTGGCTTTACTTTTTCAACATTGTTGATATGGCTGCAACAGTCAATTGGATATGTTACAGACTGTATATGTAAAACCGGCAGTATATAAAATGACTACTCCGTATATACACGGACTGAAGATTTCAGTGTATATGATAAAAAATGTATCCTTCAAGAAACGGACTAGTCGGTTTGTAGAAGGACTAGACTGTTTATATACGGTCCAACTTCGACTAGTCCATATGTAAACGGACTAAACCCCGATTGATGCAGACTTACAGACAGTTTTAGCTTGGCATTTATTTTGGTTCTAGCTTAAGTACCCGTAATATTAGGCGTAAGAAAAGAGTTTGTTCAAAAATTACGCTAAAAAGCACTTCAAATCCATTGAAAATCCGGGACATTCATAGGTAGACTGTAAGGGCGACGGCAGCCATATGGAAAAAGGCGGCAAAAAATTAGATATCGAATACACTAATCGATGCAATGTCGTAAAACATATATTTTAAAATTTGAGTTTATATGATTAATGACTACATCTGATTTACTTTTGTAATTTCATATCTGAAATATATCGTATTTAGCGTCGCCTTTAACAAAGAGCAAACTGTTTTTACCACAATGAGTGCAGTTAACAATTGAAAATGTAAACATCACATAAAACATCATTGCGCTTGAAAAAACGGTCTGGATAGCAATCGTCTGTATATAAACGGTCTAGTCTGTATATTAAATGACATGTCTTTTTGCAGACGGTCTGCTGTATTAGGCCGTATATATATGGCCTAGTCTGTATATATACGGTCTGATTCTATATACCGTCTGTAACAGATATAACGAATATTTCGTTGATAAACTGTGAAAGGGATTTTTTTCGACGCCTTGTGAACCCGAAAATTTCTCCAGATCGATTCCAGTTTGTTGAAATTTTAACTTTTAGCATTATTACTTTATAAAACCGGAAGCGGAAAAATATAAAAGTTAAATTGAAAATCGATCCAGGTCCCAAAAGTTTTGAACCCGATGAATGTGTGATCAGAATTAAATAAGTGTTGAAAATTCGTCCATATTTATTGTTTCAAAATAAGTTCTCAACTAAATGTTCACATTTTTTTATGTTCAATCAAAATTTCAGGTGATATCAAATAAGTGCTTATAACTCACTTATGAGTCGCTTTAAAGACACAATGAATGCAACCTTTTCAATAGACGACATGAGATTTACGCTATAAGTTTTAGTATTTGATTTTTTTTATATTTTTTCCAATAAACGATTGTAAGACCGAAACAATATATGAAAGATAAAATGGCAAATAATCGGAAGGAATGATTACATTCCGCTATGCAATGTGAAGTTTTTTTAAATTTGGATTTACTTTATTTAAAAACTTCTTAAATATATTAAGGATGCAAATATCTCAACAGTTTAAAAAATAAATATTGCCGAAAACATTTTTAGTTTTAACATGCAAGTAAAATGATTCAGAACCGTTTTTTTGTGTCTTCGCCTCAACACTTTTGTCTTTTAAAATAATTTTCCAAGATGTTCTGTTACAGATTGATAGAGTCTAATTTCACAATAAAGAAAGAACGTGTTATGAAAATGTAAAAAAGCTATTACCAAGAAAGATAAAAATTGTAATTAATAAAGAAATTAATTAATTAATTAAAACGAGTATATTAATAATTTGTTTAAGAAGGCTAAATGAGTACAAATGTGTGAAAAATCACTGTTTTAATTTTTTTGCAAATTGTAATTTTTTCTTTGATTTACATCTCATTGTTTAAAAAAAAGTAAAAAAATTAATTAAGAATTTTGGAAAAATTTAATTTAAGTGTATGTTTATATGGTCTACTTCCGATTTTAGTATATGTACTTATGTATGGCTAAAATTAAATGAGCATGAGGCAACAGAATTAATTTGATTTCGTAAACTGAATGCACTTTCTTTAATATTACGTTTCTTTGTGCTGATAATTCCTTTGCTTCCTTTGCTGTTCTTTAATTTTTTTATATAATGGTCTGGATGTTTCCCCCTTATGAAACTTATCAAACTCGCAAGCAATTTTGTAAATTACATCTTTCGTATTTTAAATTTTGTCATGCGGGTTTGTATTTGAAATTTTGGTTCCAATTGTTTCTTCAGTTTTGAAGACAGTTCTAATATTGGAATATAAATGGAATAAAAACTTCGGAATGTGTTCATTTTCACTTTTTCCAGATTAATTTTCCATTATATCAATATTTCGTCAATAAAGAAACTTGGCTAATTATTGAAATTTAAAACGCTCTTGATGAGTTGCTTTTCCTTTGGAAAATTAGGTTCATGACAAATTATTTTTGCTCTATCAAATAAACATTTTTTAATCCAAATGTTTTTTAATGCCATTATTGGCTGATTTGTGTGCTGAGTTAAAATGCAAATATCTATAGTATGAGTAGGTTTTCTATATAGGAAAAATTTAAAATCGGGAAATTTTTTTGAAATGAGTATTTTGAGAAAATAAATTTGGTCGTTTTGTGCTTTTTCAATAGCGAATTTAAATATTGTTGTTTATTATTGTCATATTATTGTTGATTGAGTTGAACATTTGCAAAACTACGGTACTGCTGCAAAAACTGCAACAATATATCGTCACTAAATTATTGATTCCATATTTGTTTCCAAATTTTCCATTAATACATTACTGAAAAAGGTGATAAGTGCGATTTTATCGCAAAATTTTGTATTTTTATAAGGCAAAAATTTTGTGACAAATTAGCCAGAGAAAACATTTTGGAAACATAAATCCGCCTCAACCATATAGCACATATCTAAACTCTTTCTGTTGTTTCTTATTATTCAAAAAATATACAATTATATCGTACGTTATTTTGCTGTATTTTGTTAAACAGACGGTTGGATAAAATATTTCTTGCTGCTTAACATAATCTTAATGACCTTCTATAAAAAATGTCATTTATCTTTTCCTGCGTCTAATTAACCCAAACTAACTTTTTAGATGCAAAAATGTTTTTTATAAACATTTGAAAAACTTCTTAACTAGAAAACAGAGTAAAAAACCAAACATTGATTATTCAAAAATAGAATAGCGCTAGTTTGGAGAATGTGAAGCAAAATAACAGACTAAAGACTTTCTGTTACTTGCTGTAGTTAGCAAACGGAACTATTTTATAAAAGTTTCTTCAGGGCGAAAAATGTTTGTAAAACGTCCTATTCGCACTTAATAAATTAATAACAGATTCGGCAAATGTCTTGGGATGATTGGAAACGCTTGGGTCAAATATATTTCTGCTGACTAAAAGGCCAACAGATCTTGATGTATTGTGAGAAGCATACTCAAACAAATAAATAGCCAATCAGAAAAAGTCTCGACAGATTATATTTGCTAAATCCGCCACAATCGATCCAGAGAGATCAGAGCTGTTTGATTCCAATATCAGAGCCGGATGCATTATTTGCATTATTGATTTCAAATGCTGTTCTAATAAGCAGTTCCGGACTACATATGAATAGAATCAATATTCCAATTAAAGCATTGTTCGTGAAAATAAATGTTTCAATACTCCTTTATTTCAAGTTTGACTTAGCATTATTCCATTCAGGTTCAGTTTAATTCTTGATCAATTCCTATGTGCGTTATATTTGATTCTTAGTTCAAGTGATTAAAAATGCATGTCGCACATTTATTATTTGTTCTGCAATGCTCTAGAGCCAAATATCACCACAGAAATTCATTTAAAACCCATATTTACATATCACCATCCAAACTCCGGCCGAAACTCGAAATCAAATATTTATTTATGAGCGAACTGAGTTGAAAGTTCTGTTCGAAAAATTAGAATCGTATTTAAATGGAAATGAATACCTACGATAGCAAAGCCCAGTAAAGTTCTCAACTGCCAGTTAATCTACTCTAAAAGTTTCTATTTTGAGTAGCAGTAATTTATATATTAGTTTATTCTTGGAGTTCTGAGTATCCTCATTAAGAGTTCAAATTGTCATAAAATCTGCCGTAATTATTTGGTTTAAATTGATGGGTTTTTAGATTATCTAATGAGTCAAAAACCTTCTTCTCCTTCAATTATGTGGATTGAAAAGTGTCGAAACCTGCATACGTTTAGCTACAAGATCGCCAACAAGTCGATTTTAGCTTGGGAGGTATTAATATGCGTTAGCAATTAAACTAGATTGGTTCAGGTTAGTGAGGACACTTAAGTGGCTGGTGAAGATGTTGGAGCTCTGACAAGTACCTTGGAATTATTCAGAGCTGACTGTTCAATTTGAGTTCAAAACTAGTTTCAAATTGAACCAGATTTGTTGCTGAGTTAGTAATTACTTTGTGTTTGAACCATTCAAAGTGTGTTATTAAATTTAATTATGAGCTGTTTTCCAAAGTGGGTCATTGCTTATTAATCAAAGTTATTAGACTAGTCTTCAGAAGATCAGATTGTCACTGCTGGATGTAGCTTAGTAAGAATTAAGAAATAAGTATTAAGAGATTTATTGTTATTTGTTCACAG